GACAAATAGGGGTTGGGGTTCACAGGGTATTAGCCGTGTACTTTTCAGAGGTCGTCTGATCTACGAGTCTCTTGTTTTCAAATACTTTTAAAATTATAAGGAGTTAGATGAGATCTCATACTAGCTATGGCCATGGAGTCGCGCCCGTCTGCCATTGGATGTTTATTAATGTTTTCGAAAGGAGGCATAGGGTTTTCTTTTATTAATATTCCGAAATGGAGCATAGGGGGACAACCTAGTCTATTGCTTAATCCAATCAATGAATGAAATGAATTATTTATTATTAATTAGTGAAGTCTTAGTAATGCTAACAATTGAGTCATGTGTTCGAGTCAATGATTATATTGTGTGTGTGCAGATTGATTTTTAGTAACATGTTAGGGATTCTTTGTTATATTTCGTAGCTTGTATGTACTCAGCGTTACTGGCTGCGTGCTTTTGTGTGTCTTTTCTTGGTCATGGCCTTCGCCTTTTCAATGACCCTGTAATGATCCAATCTTTACACTTGTAATATTGGGGAGCAGACTAATCACAGGTTTTTACTCAATCAGAACTTGCATCAAGGTGGTGGGATTTTGAGTGGAATGTTGGATATTTTCACAGTTTATTACAACTCTTAAGTTGGATTTATTTTAACTCTGATTTGATTTATTTACTACTTTTAATTGGGTTTGAATAAGGGCCATAATGGTTCCAACTTGTAAGACTAAATTTGGTTTTGATTACTGGTTTTGAAAATTATTTATAACTGAGTTAGTTTTTCCGCTGCTAAACTCTGAACTAGCCTTAACATTTGAACAAGTGGCGGTAGCACGTCAGTAATTCTTGCAAATTGTTAAAGGTATTTACAGGTTTTTAAGAGAGAATTATTGGGGTGTTACACGGGGAAGGGCGCATTTTTTCCCTAGGAGGGCCGGCTGGGTATAATAACGACAAAGCAGCCGGTTCAGGCGAAGGGAAGGGGAGGAGACTAAGTAAAATTTTCTCTTCCAATTACTCCACTTTGACGGCTTGTCAAGCGACATCATGTATTTCGGGTGCGTGGTTAATGTATACCACGCCCTCCATCCTCCTAGGGCACGACTAAGGTAATGCATATGTGCAAACGCCTCCCAGCTAGGCGTCACGTTCTGCATCTCGCAAGCGGCAATATATCCTAATATGTTCACCCAAGAATTGGGTGTTAACTGCTAACGCCCAAATCATAGCCCCTCAATATAGCTCTGATGCGTTGTGAAGAGGGAACCGGAGGCCGGCTTTAAATGCCGCCTCATAGCAGCCGAAAAGTTGTCGGCATGATCGATGTCATCATTCCAGACAACGGTTGCCTCTGCAGGCGGTACTATAACCTCCCACGTATCCCCAACCGGACACTTCTCAATAAAGGCGGGGTAGGTGGCATTCAGGGTAGTAATATCCCCGGCGGACATGCTCGCCTCTGTAGGATTATTGATGGAGGGAAATTTGTACGCCTCCTCCTCCCCCCGGAATTCATCCGGCTCTAATGATGTTGACTCCCCTGAGTTTGACTGTTGGACGGTATCATCACCGCCTAACTCCTCATACTCCTCCAATATGTTATCACTTGGAGTACTGGGAGCGCCTAGAGGGTCATTATGCTCTATGTCAGCCAGCGCTTCAGCTGAGCCGTCTGATCTGTAGTCGGGGCCAACAGCCGTCCGCTTCGTCCGAGCCATCCTGTCCTGTACATGCACAGAGACGGCCGGATTCGTGGAAAAGAAAGGGTGGTCCAAACACCCCCAGACAGCATCCCCAGTCCTAGACTCAGCCATATCAGGTGACCGGCTGAAAACTGTCCTAGGTCGTGCCGTGTGTGTGTTGGGTGAGTCCATTATTCTTTACAAGCTATACAACCGGAAAAACTCAAAAAAGTTGCAAGGGGTAGAGACGGTACCTCGAAGAAGTTTTGAGTTTGGAGGTTGACTATCTGGATCTGCAGCCAGAATTCCCTTTGTTGCTAGCTAGATACCCAGACGGTTGCCCGGATGTACCCTCTTGAAGAGCAACTGAAAATTGGAGAAAAACCAAGACGTGCCCCTAGAGTTTTGCTTGAAGATACCCCAGATGGTTGACCGACTGTAGGTGTATTGAAAGCTAGGAGGATGTCAAGAGACCCTCAGGTGGTTTTAAAATGTTTTGAATGTAGAACACTCAGACGATGACCGGTTGAGTTGAGACGGTGACCGGTATCAAAGCTCTCTTTCTCAGAAAAATTTCTCCACAAAAATTTGCAAAGTGCGAAAATGAGAGGAGAGGGTCTTTACTTATAGAGAACCCCAAAAGGCGAACCGTCACCTTCCAAATTCGAAATTCAAAAAAAAAAAAAAAAAAAAAAAAAGAGAGAGAGAGAAGGAGACGAATCGTCACCTTATCAGATCATGACACCTGTCACAGGTGCCACGTGGCAAGCCACGTCACACCTGTGAGCGGCAAATGTTGAGGGTAAAAATACCTTGTCCAAGTGGCCCAATAGCATGCTGACACGTGTCAGCCTCAGAGAGGTTGTGGAGGAGCCAATCCTCTAATGACACGTGGCACTCCAACTCATAAAAGGGGAACTGATCCCCGAACACTATAAATAGAGGAAAAACCTCATTTATTACATATTCATAAATACACACACAAAACCCGAGCAATATTAATTGCAGAATTCTCTCGAAATCCGAGAGAAGAATCTTTACATTCCGCACTTTTATACATCCGGACACATTCTAACTTGATCGTCGGAGGCGGAACTCCACCCAACCGGAGTTTCCGTGGCTTTGCAGGTACAGACGGTCGGCATCCATTCTTGGAATTGTAACTCTTCCAAGGGACTCCAAAAACCCCGAAACAATACCTATCCTTTATTTTTTTAATTTAATTTTTCAAAAACTAATGAATACACATCATATTCGGCTTTCCTTTTTGGGTTTGGCAAAGTATGGAGAATTGTTTAAGGCATAACGATGCATAACTTAGGAGTTTAAGCTATGTTGTTATTTCTTGGTGTTAAGCAATGATAGGTGGCAAAGGTTTGAATTCGAATGAAAGTATCACAAAATCTAGAGATGATGTTAAGAGGATTCAAGTTATAGCTGATAGTTTGTCTCAATAGCTTTCCAATGACTGGTCATAAGCGCGTTTTGGACAAGAAATGAGAAAGTTATGATCGTTTTACGAAGTGCTATCAAGTCTGATAGGTTTTGCGTGCTCCGCTCAAAATAAGAAGGTGGTCACTGTGTTCGCACAAAATTAGTAGCCTAGATATGCGATTTTCAGCCTCACTAGAGTTTGCGTGTCCGCACAAGGTGTCGTTGTTGCTCAATTTTGCCATGTGTTATAATATTAGCCGTTAATGTTTCAATTATGCTCGAGGGTATATATGCTCATCGCCGTCATTGTTTAGATGTAGGGGTGCAAAACTGTAGAGAGACAAAGAGAGCCTCAATGTAAAACCCAAACACTTAGGGTTTGTGAGTTTGAGAGGGTTAGTTTGGGGGGGGAGCTTTCATGGTTTTTGAAAGCTTGTAATCTACATTGTACTTCATCAAAGTATTATGCCATAGTGAATTGGTGGGTTTTTCTCCCAATTCTCAAGTTTTCCATGGTAAATTCTCCTTGTTTTGTTGTTGTTTGATTTCAGTCTTCATTATTATTAATTGTGTTTATCACAAATTAGTTTGAACATTTGTTAATCCTTTCATTTCTCTTTAATTGATTTTTTTACTTTTTTTCATACGAAAATTGTATAATCATTGAAAAAAATATTAATTTCAACTTTTTTTTACTTTATACAACTAGTACATTGCATGAACTAAAAGGGTAGTTACTAATTTACCATAATGACAAAAAAGTTTCATCACAATTTTAAATACAATGTCGTTATTACTCATTAATTCATTACTATTTTCACTATTTATTACCGCCTACTAAATGAGTTGTAAGAGTATTAATCACGGCAATACATGACCAAGAAATCCAATATCTATCTTTAAATGGACAGTGAGAGGGAAGATTGCCAACATGCCAAATTGCCAAGAGAGGGACTATTAATTGGACAAAAATGGGACATTGTCACATTGACCATAATTAATAATGGGACTTGTACAACGAGCCGTGAGAGTGGGGAGTGGGGTTGGTATAGAAACAAATGGAGACTCCTGAAAATGCATATTTCATACGTGGTTATCTGATCAGCTCGTCTGACATTCTGACAAGGACTCCACAGTACATGCTATCTTGCATGTCTCAACAGTTTTACAAAAATTGTGAGACATTCATAAGTTATTGTGAGACGTCTTTTTTGCGTCTCACATAAAATGAGGTAATGGGGATGAACTTACATTATCGCTAGGGGTGTTAATCGAGCGAGTCGATCACGAGCATAGAGTTGCTCAACTCGTGCTCGTTAAGTTTCGAGCCGAGCCGAGTCCATCGATCACGAGCTGCTCGTTTAAAAGTTCTGGTCTCTTGAATTTCAAACGTTTGTTAATTATATTTTCTTCTCTTTATATAATTTTTTCTTACTAAAGTGTATTATTATTAAACATAATTGTTTGTTTTTTAAAGATAGAAAAACAGAAAAATATTGAATTTCTTGTACACTTATCAAGTTTCGAGCTAATCCGAGCGAGCACAAGCCAACTTGAGTCGAGCTTTAACCGAGCGTTGAGCTAGTCGAGTTCAAGTTCGAGTTGCTCGTGAGCTGCTCAACTCGATTAGCACCCCTAGTTACCGCATACCAGAAATAATGGAAAAAATCACCCGAGACAATACGTCGCTGGACTCAGTCGGTCACTAGTGCAAAACTGCAAAATGTTTTGGACTAGATCACTTGGATTGTTCTGGTCCCAGTTTGATTCCTTTTCAAGTATTTTCTACCCTTGTGTTATGGACTTATGGTACAACGTGACTTCTAAGCAAGTAGGAAATAAAGTTACTGCTAGCTAGTCAGCTAGAATAAAGTAGCTCGTCTCACCATATATATATTGCAGGGATATGCCACTGAAAATGCTTCAAAGGCCACTGAATTATGCTACTACGCCCAAGCTGCTCCAAGTTCTAGTTAACTGGCCTTGCAGTTACACCTAATTCTTTACCCTTTTTTGAAAACATCTTTATAAACCCACCTCATTAATTCTCACCTAATCATATCCTTGATTTCCATCCACACACAACACATTCCAACTCTTTCTGCTTTGATTGTACTCCTGTATAGTACTTTTTGGATAAACAATTAACAGAAAATCGGCCAAGATAATTTACTAGCTTGCAGCTTTCGGAGAAATGGTACAACTGAACATGCGAGCAACAATGATGTCATCGCGTATTGGTCATGACCGAGCTTTGATTGGTAGGATACTGGTATGGATCATATTGGTGGCAGGAACTGCACATGCAACTCGTATGCATCTTCCCGATAATAGATCAGTGGCAAATACGTCTCTGGGTGGCAGGCGCCGTAGTCTCCTAAACAATGGCCTTGGTCTTACTCCACAAATGGGGTACGTGTAGTACTTCTTTCTTGTCATCCTTTAAACTTTGGCTTCAGAGTAACTTGAAATTCAGTGAAGGGCAAATAAATGTCTGTCTATATTTGACTGCATATATTTCATAAATATTTAATCTAAAACAAAGGTCAGCACGATTCTGTTCTAAAGTTATTTAACTGCAACCTAAACCTTTCCCCACTTTGTGTTCGTGTAAGTTTCCTAGTTTTACTCTCCTTTAAATAAACACGAATGTTTTAGGGATTACAAACTTGAGATAAGAAAAGAGAATAAGTTCATCTCATGTTTAATCAAATTACAGAAGGAAAATGTAAGGAAAATGTCAAATTTGCTTTATATTTGAATCTGTCATGTTTTTCTCTCTCTGAGTAGGTGGAACAGCTGGAACCACTTTGGCTGTAAGATTGATGAGCATTTGATAAGAGAAACAGGTAACTGCTTTTCTAATCAGTAATATTTGGAGGTTCTTCATATGCTCCATGATATGAATATATGGACATCTTTGTAAACCATTCCTGCAGCTGATGCTATGGTGTCGAGTGGCCTAGCAGATCTGGGGTATAAGTACATAAACATTGGTAAATCTACAAACAATTTGAGATAATGTTTGGCTTACTGTTGTTTTAACTACCAAAATTCTAAAACATTTTAGCCCTAAAAAAAAAAGGTTCTTACTAAGTCATCAACTGTAACATAACAGATGATTGCTGGGCAGAACTCAACAGAGATTCTCAGGTGCATTCTCACCTTTGAATATCTGATTATCTTACTGTCTCCTTCACATTTATGATTTCTCCCACTAATCCCACTCCGTGCAAATATTCTAGGGACACTTGGTTCCCAAAGCTTCAACCTTTCCATCAGGAATTAAAGCACTAGCAAATTATGTTCATAGCAAAGGGCTGAAGCTTGGAATTTACTCAGATGCAGGGTATTCACTCTATCTCAAAATTTTATGGGTCATCTCAGAAAGAAAAAAAAAAAAAAAGTAGTGATATGAAGTCAATCCTGTTACAACTCTATGCATGTTTAAGCGGCTTAAATCTGATACCAAGATTGCTGATTCAGAATTCAGACTTGTAGCAAGACCATGCCAGGCTCGCTTGGCCATGAAAAGCAGGATGCAAAGACCTTGGCCTCATGGGTGAGTAATTGATATCTTGATATGATACAAGGTCACTCAACATGGAATGGTAAAAAATCTTTCAGTTGAAGGCTTCTAGCTGGATTAGTGTACATACAGATTGCTCATCAGCTGTTTTTTTTTTTTTGACTCCCCCCCCCCCCCCCCAAAAAAAATGTCTGAAATAGGGTGTTGATTACTTGAAATATGACAACTGTGAGAACAACGGGATTGACCCAAAGGAAAGGTTTGTAACTACTTACATAATATTGACTACAAGCATACGAAAGTCAAAGAGCCCCATGGTTTCAGGTTGAACATTGCCTTTCTAGCACTAACACTTATCAATTGTGGATAGGTACCCTAAGATGAGTAAGGCCCTACTAAAAAGTGGCAGACATATATTTTTCTCCCTATGTGAATGGTAAGTGATTCATCAAGTTCAACTTGGAGGAGTTGTAATTTCACATTTAGTTTACTATGAGGATATTCTACAGAACTACGTAGTAGCACTTCCTCTTATAAAACTTGTGTTTACAAAGAGGGGGAAAATAGCATGATTCTCTCACAATAATAAAATGCATATGTTCATAAAACTTGGTGATGAGCAGGGGACAAGAAGATCCAGCAACTTGGGCCCCAAGTATTGGAAACAGTTGGAGAACAACGGGTGACATTCAAGATACATGGAATAGGTAAAAAGAGAAAAGTTCCATACACATTCTTATATAGTCCTTTGAATACATTTGATCATCATGTATCTGATCTGAACATCTAGTTTTAGCAGTTAAAATGAGTGACTCTACTAGTTCAAGAATAGAACAAAAGTTTATTTTCTATGCTTTATTGGGCTATTAAATCTGGAAACTCCTTTTGTGCTTCAGTATGATAGATATAGCAGACAAAAATGACAAATGGGCATCATATGCTCGTCCCGGAGCATGGAATGGTAACAAGAAACATACTTATTTTCTTTTTTAAGAGTTTCAATGCTGTTTTCGATACGTAAGATATGACACATGAAAGGGGAATACATTATCTGCAGATCCGGACATGCTTGAAGTTGGTAACGGAGGGATGACTAAAGAGGAGTATCGTTCTCACTTCAGCATATGGGCATTAGTAAAGGTACCATTCTAACTTCCTAATATTCCAACTTTTATTATGCAACTCGATCAAGATACGTATCTGGATGATTGGCCTGTAATAAAGACCTTGGGTTTCTGCAGGCTCCTCTGTTGGTTGGATGTGATGTGCGATCAATGGATCAGGCAACTCTTGAACTGCTAAGAAACAAGGAGGTCATTGCTGTCAATCAAGGTAAAGAAGGATTGGAGGAGGTTGTCAATTACTTCATATATACACCCAGTGAACTTACTGAAGTTTTATAACCAGATAAGCTAGGCGTTCAAGGGAGAAAGGTAAAGAAAAATGGTGATCTTGAGGTAATATTTACTTTTTATACACTAGTTTTTCAGAGTCCAAATGATATTTTTTGGCTTGCAAGCCTCAGACTAATATCTTATGAAATGTTTAGGTATGGGCTGGCCCATTGACTCAGAGGAGGATGGCTGTTATTCTATGGAATAAAGGATCTTCATCATCAAATATTACTGCTTATTGGTCTGATATAGGTCTTAAGCCAACAACTATAGTGGATGCTCGGGACTTATGGAGGGTGAGTTGTTACCTTTTGTTTCTGATAAATCGTTGAACAAGACAATTATCTTCTTTTTTTGATGTTCTAACTCCATGATCCATCTTCATTCAATACACTTGAAAAAGCAGCATTCAACTCACCGTGGTGTCAAAGCTCAGCTTTCTGCTCAAGTTGATTCGCATGCAGTTAAGATGTACATCTTAACACCCCACATGTGAGATTTCCTCCACCTGTAGACCAAGCCAAATAGATCACGTAAAAGCAAATCTTCTTGTATGATCAACAGGGAGAGGAAAAGATGATTCAATAACTAGGAAAACTGACCTATGCAAAACACGTAGACAGTGTTTCACATTGTATACTATATAAGTTATGTTTATGGGCAGTATCTTCAATTCAGATAACAAAAGTGAGATTCAACTAAATTACTCCTAATTCTTGGAAATCAAGAATTATACTACCTCCGGTTTTTTTTATGTGCAACTTTGAGGCTTTTTGCGGTTCACAAAGCAAAAGATTGAAGGGCAAAGATTAATAAAAGTGAGTGGGTTTAATTAAAGGGGAAGGAGAGAGAAAGTGTGGCCACCCACAAAGTATTTTGGTGGGAAAATCTGGCCAAAAGTTAAAAGCCAAATTTTCCCCCTCAATTAAATCTGCCAAAAACAGAAGTTGACAAATTTTTCATGTAAAATTTGTTCCCCCCCATTTTTTCAAAAAAATCTGCCAAACTGAAATTTTTTTAAACATCAAGGGAGGCTATAAAATCAGTCTCCTTTTCGACTTTGCCCCCCAAATTTCAACATTTAATGAGGCTATAAAGGCAGCCTCCATTGTCACAAAATTAATTACAGCCATTAATGTTAGCAGCTGGGTGAAACATTCCAGCAAAAATCAGAGTTTCATCCCAATAATTTATAGATTTCTACGTTCACCGCTACGGTTAGTTTAATTATACACTAACTACACTGTTCAAAGATTTACAAAAAAAGGCTACCCTGCTGTCATTGAAGCACATCTGGGTATCATCTTCATCTTCACCCCACAAAAAATCAGCAGGCCCCTCATCATCATCTCCCTGTGCTGATTAACACAAACACATGGCAGAGTATGGTGATACCGTTTTTTTCGATGTTGAACACATACTAAATGAAGAACAGATGGCAAAGTTGTGGTTTGAAGAAGAAGAAGAAGAAATGCAGGATGCAGGCTTTTGGGGGTATGAATCAGAAGATGACAGCATGGATGGTAGCCAAGACAAAGAACAACAACAGCCAGACAGTGAAGGTGAGGTTGATTCCTCACAAATGCAACAACAACCACAACAAATGCCACAACAACCATAACAAATGCAACAACAACCCCAACAAATGCAACAACAAATTGTATGCAGGAAGCAACTGCCAATGCAAAAGAAAAGGCAAATTGTAGATGCACTATTGGTGAAAATGAACAATGGCAGATTACCTAGGGGTCACTTGAAGTAGTTATCAACTCAATTCAACGTACACAAATCAACAATAACAATATTCACAGATATAAAGAAACAGCTGGCAGAAAGGGGACTTGATTGATGTCAGGACTAAAAAAATTGGCAGAACAGGGAGAAAGCCAATGGAAATTTCTGATGAAATTCTACAGTCAGTCCCATTACATTTAAGGCAGACTGAAAGGAGCTATGCAGGAGCACTGAAGATCAGTCATAGCACAGTTCACAATTTGAAGAGGAGAGGAAGGCTAAGAACACACACAGCCTGCAACAAGCCTGCACTGTCATCAGACCAAAAGGTGGCCAGACTAAGATGGATTTTGTCACACATAAATCCATTTACAGGAAATGAGGACCCCACATTTGTTGACATGAGGAATGTCATACACTATGATGAGAAGTGATTCTACTTGAACCCTAACAAGAGGAGGTTTTATCTACTCCCAAGTGAGGAGGACCCCTATATGGCAGTTCAGTCAAAAAGATTCAAGCTCAAGGCAATGTTCATGGCATTGATAGGGAAGCCATTATATGGCATAAATGGAGAACTTTTACATGATGGGAAATATGGCATCTTCCCATTCACTGTCCAGCAAGTAGCACAGAAATCAAGCAAGAAAAGGACAAGAGGGACTTTGGAAACAAAGGCACTCCAGAATATAAACAGAGAAGTTATCAGGGAGATGCTGCTTACAAAAGTTATCCCAGCCATCAAGTCAAAGTGGCCAGAAAGTCTGGCCAAGGATGTGGTAATTCAATGGGACAATGCAAGGCCTCACAAAGTTCCAAGGGATGCAGAGTTCATTGAAGCTACTACCACAAATGGCTTCAACATTCAATTTATTTTTCAGCCAGCACAATCACCTGATTTGAATGTGCTTGATTTAGCGCTGTTTAGGTCTATACAATCATTGCAATATCAGTCTTTTTTTACAGACTTAGATGAGCTAGTTCAAAAGGTGAAAGACTCTTATGACACATTCGATCCAGAGGTTAACAAGTACATCTGGGTTACTTTGCAAAATTGCATGATTAAAATACTGAAGGCAGAAGGTGGTAACAAGTACAAGATTCCACATATGAACAAGAAAAAGCTTGAGAATATTGGCTTTCTACCGGAAATAGTTGTAGTCCAGAAGGAGGTAGTAGTGGAGGCTGTGGAGTATCTAAACACTATGTTTAGGCCAGCTAATCAGGGCAATGAAGAAGTCACAGAAGAATTGGAGGTGGATGCAGATTAGGGGACTCAATACAAGAAAAAGACAACACATGAACTGCCACACATAACCACTTACCTATGTAAGTTTGTTTATATGTGTTTTATTTCAAATGTTGAAGTACCAAGTGGTTAGGTGTATTTTGTTAATTACAATTATCAAAACATGTAAGGCAGTATGTTGTAAAGTCTTTAGATTATGGTATGGTCTTTTGTAATGTACTTTCTTAATTACTCAAAGGTATGCTCTTTTGTACCCACATTTTAAATGGTAGCAATGAATGACAAAGACATACAATTTATGGGGCTGATAAGTCTATTATATATATTTTTTTATTCCCCGTCCCACGGTCATATTTGTGCTTATTTGAGCTCTACGGAGCTATTTTTATTACTAATATACATTTTCTAGTGTTTTTGTAGAGTTGGTTTTATTACTAAGGTCAAAATTAAATAATGACCAAATCATCTCCAACACAACTCAACTCTACCAAAAATTCACCAAACATCCAATTATAATAAAAAATTCCCAACACTTACAATTTCACTCATAAAAATAGACATTAGAGAACTCGAGTGATTGACAAACTTTAAACTCTCTTTTTGTTTTTTTGATTTTTTTTCTTTTGAAACTCAATTTTTCTCTTTTGAACAACCTTCACTTAGAACATTTGGACATTAAACAATTATTTTCTTTTGCTCTTTTTTTCTTTTTATCTCACTTGGAATTTTTTTCACTTTTGAACACTTTTTTTTTTCAATATATTCCAACTCACAAAAATAAGAACAACTATGCAACTTCTCAAGCCCACCCAAAACTGTGCAAATGAATATGCACACTACAAACTCCCTCACCTCACTCACTAATAGCTCCCCAAGCCAAGCTTGGGACTAGTAACCAATGGGGCAAATTAGGCTTGTAATGTGGTTAATAAACAATAAAAAGTCAAGGCAACAACATGGGTAGCAAGAAGGGAACAAATATATCTAATATCATCTGAAGGCCACCTAAGAGAACAAATGCCTTCGTCCTCCTCATTGTGCATAATAAAGAGTCATATAAACATTACTCAAAGTCACAAACCAATACTCAAATTCAATGACATACCAGGAACTAATCACACATTCCTGACCAAATTAACTAGTCAAGCACCAAATCCACAAATAGTTAGGCAAAATTGACTCATATTAAAGATTCAAAACAATCAAACATCAAATCATGGCTAACCTATTCACAATACTCATCATCATATACCAGGAATCAAAACAAGTTACATGTATGGGGCACAGGGAAGCATGATTTATCATCCATTGGAACGTATTTTTTTTTTTCAAAGCAATAAATCTGCCCTAAAAGGCACAAAAAACTATACTAGAAAGCAAGAAATATATACTAAGCATACCAAAGAAATAAATTCAAAAGAAAAGGGAAGAAAAGATTACTTGTATATACAAGAAATTCCCCCCAAGCCAAACCAGACAATGTCCTCATTGACTTAAAGGGATGAAAGTAACCCAGACGACTACCCCTCATCATTAAAATCGTATCCACCACCATCCCAAGCATTGCAATGCATCACCTTGGTACAGTTCTGGACAAGAAAGAAACAAAGTGTTTGTAGGAAAAGAGGTAAAAATGAGTCAGGCTCACTATTTCGTTCATAACTTTTTTTATACAAATGATAATGCAGTGATTCTAATTGCATTGGAAATTAGACTTGAAGAGATTTCCAACGATAGGTCACACAAAAAATTCCGTAAAGAAACGCAAAAGTTATGGCGTTTTGAAGTTGGCCAGTTTTGCTATCGTGCTCTCGCGCCCGGTCGGGCGAAGCCGGGCGCGCCTTCGGACGAGCTGAACACTTTTTTCGACCTTTGGGAGAATTTTGGGTGATAATCCTCTTTTCTCTCGCGCCCGGTCGGGCGGGATCTCTCCCGGTCGGGCGAGATTGCTCGTATGCGAACTTCCTCTCGCGCCCGGTCGGGTGGGTGCTCGCCCGGTCGGGCGCCCTACAGCACTTTGAGTCCGATTTTTCTCAATTTGTTCCTTTTTCTCCACTTGTTCATCTTCAAACCCAAGCCCTACACAATTTAGAGCCCTTTCTATAGCATCCACTTCATCCTTCCATGTGGTGGCTTTTCCTGTGGAAGATGTAACACAAAATACCGCCTCCAAGGGATCTCTAACAAGAGCTTAGGGCTTATTAGAAAAATTATATACATCAACCACATCAATACTATAGCACTTTTCTTCCAACATGGGGCTTTTGAGGGCATCATGTAGATTAAAATAATATTTTCATCCCCTACACATAACGTAAGTTTACCACTTTTCACATCTATTATTGCCCCAGCAGTATGAAGGAATGATCTACCCAATATAATTGGAATTTGCAAATCTTCCTCCATATCAAGAACAACAAAATCAACAGGTATATAAAATTTACCTACTCTAACAGGTACGTCCTCTAAATCACCTAAAGGATATTTAAGAGAACGATCTGCCATTTGCAGAGTAATATTGGTAGCCTTTAATTTACCCATATTTAATGTAGAGCTCACAGATAATGGCATAACACTTACACTAGCACCCAAATCGCATAAAGCTTTATCAATCATCAAATTACCAATGTGACAAGGAATAGAAAAACTACCCGGATCTTTTAGTTTAGGGGGAGACTTATTCTGTAATATGGCACTACATTCTTCAGTAAAAGCAACTGTTTCTACCTCACTAATAGATTTTTTTCAAGTCAAGATTTCTTTCATAAATTTAGAGTATGCAAGAATTTGAGTAATTAATTCTGTGAAAGGAACTGTTACCTGCAAATTCTTGACAACATCTAGAAACTTACCAAACTGCTTATCCAACTTACTCTTAAGATGTCTGTTTGGGAATGGTAGTTTGATAACTGGTTTCTGCACAGCTTCACCTTTGGGTTTAGTATTACCCTGCAATGCATTATCAGTTGAAGTATTAGTTCTACCCTGCAACCCTGCATGGCTAGAAAAGAACTCATTTAAAACAACATAATCAGAGCTGGCATTATTAGATATGACAGGTTCATCATCTTTGGGCATGGGAGGTCCATTATAGGGTGAACCACTCCTCAGAGTAATTGCATTCACGTGATCTGTAGGTTGCACCGGCTGTGATGATAGGGCTCCCTGCTGATGAGTTTGTAGAGCATAGGAAAGTTGCGCAATTTGATTGTCCACAATTTTATTATGGGCTAAAAGTGAATCAATTTGTGCATCCCTACTCTGCATGTGTTTCTGCATATCGACTAACATCATTCTGATTTCTGATAAGCCAGAATCAGAAGGGGGAGTAACAGTCTGTTGTGGTCTCTGATGTGGAGGTTGGTAGTACCTCTGCTGCGGTTGTTGTACCTGTGGTGGGGGGTTAGGCACATTCGTACTGTTGTACGACATATTCTGGTTATTTTTCAACCCTGCATTATAGGTGTTAGAGTATGGACTAGTTTGCTTATAAGCCTGAAAAGCATTAATTTTTTCAAGCGAACTGGTACAATCCTGAGCCCAATGACCTACAAGACCACAATTTTCACAATTAATTGCAGCGTTAGTACCAATAGCAGAAACATTAGCAACGGGAGATGAATTAGAACTATTAATATTGTCTAGTTTCTGGCTAATAGCAGTCAATTGTGCTTGCAAAAAGGATATAGAATCGACTTGGTGCTTTCCCTTATTTGCAAATCCCCTTGGGTTCCCATATTGAGAATTGTGAATAGCCATTTCTTCGACAACATTGCTTGCTATATTCACATCTAAATTCATGAATCTGTCGTTAGCTGCAGAGTCCAAAATCATTCTTGAATTATATCCAATCCCATTGTAGAAAGCTTGGATTATCTGCCACTGTGCTATCCCATGATGAGGGCATTCTCTCTGCAAATCCTTAAATCTTTCCCAAGCTTCATATAAAGATTCATCCGCTTCTTGGGAAAAATTTAGGATTTTACTCCATAACAAAGCTGTCTTCTCCGCAGGGTAATATTTACTGTAAAAATTCATGGCAAGAGTATCCCAGTTAGTAATACCAAGAGCAGCTCTATTCAAACCATTATACCACAATTTAGCTTTACCACACAAAGAGAAAGGAAAAAGAATCTCCCTGATTTGGTCCTGCGTGACCCCAACTTGTCTAATGGTGTTGCAATATTGGCAGAAATCTAAAATATGAAGATTTGGATCTTCACCCTTAGCTCCGCTAAATTGCTTCCTTTCGATCATAGTAATAAATTGGGGCTTGACTTCAAACTGTACTCCGTCAAGATCAGGTGGAGGAGTAAGATGTTGGAAATCTTCCAGGGACGGCTGTGAATAATCACTAAGCTTGCGGGGTGGTGGATTCGTCATCTCAGCTTCTAGTTCTGTCTAAAAAGGTTCTTCTGTCTATGAAAAGAACATTCAATCTCAGGGTCAAACGGAATGTAACCTGATCTAGAACTCCTGGGCATAAACACAGAACTAAACAAACAAGTATGAGAAACTGTCCCAAAGAACTTACGTTCTCTGAGACGAAAGAAAATAATTTAGACTACAAAAATAATCAGAAATAAAAATAAAACCGTATCCCCGACAACGGCGCCAAATTTTTGACAGGATCTAGTCGTATCACCTAATCAAAAGTAATTACCTAAGTCCTCTAACTAAAGTAGATAGGGAAGTAGGGTCGAATCCACAGGGAAACAGTGTTCTTCTATTCCTAATCAACAATTATAATCTAAATTATCAGGTAACCAATTTGTATTTGTATGAATTAAACTAATAATAAAACTAAGCAAATAAACTAGAAGAATAATCAATAATAAAAAGCTCTAGGGTATAGGTTCACCAATAAATAATACTCCAGAGTAAAACATACGATCAATTATCAATGCATAAATTAATCAGATTATAAAGGGTTGTCGCTACGTATTATAATCACATAATTAATCTACTGGTATTAAATCTCATCTCTCGAATCTCGACCTAACCATTAACAGATTAACATGCCTATTGAAACTAAGCCTAAACATCAATCCTCATCTCTCGAATCTCGAATCAATATTGCTAGACTCATACAATTAAACCAGGCCTAATCTAATTGCATAGCATTAAATTAATCAATAGAAAATTAATCAATCATAAATAATTAACAATAATAAATTACCCCTTCGTATTATTCATGGATCTCCACAAACCCTAGAATTAAACTACTCGTGCATAATTAAATCTAAACTAACCACAGGGATAAAACCATGCATAATAAAACAAAATCAAATACTTCGTAAAAAACTATCGTTAATGAAGCTCAAACTAATTAAATATATTAAAACTAACATATGAGAAAATAAAGTAAAAGCATAAAGAAAACAAGAAAATTCTGACTAATACTATCAAGAAAAGACAAAAGAGACGAAAGCGTAACTAATAACTAATAACTAAAAGAATAATTTCTCCCCTCCCCAATCCTACGTACTACCCCCTTTTATAACAAAGTTATTGGGCTTTTAACAATAAAAATCTAATAGCTAAGCTATCAAACCGACTTGGTTCGGCCTTGCAACACACTTGCCGGGTATCAGTCCGCCAGATTGGGCCCGCCAATAATCACGCCCAGCAGCTCTTAATTGGGCTGATTGCTTCTTCGTTTGGGTCAATAAGTTGGGTCATTTATTTTAGCTTTAGCCCATTTTCCTTTCTTGGTCCAAAATATTAATATCTTTGTAAATCTTGCACCTCCTCACGTATCGAGCTTTAAATCACCGAACTAAATTCCTGCAACTCGATCTTGGGTAATTAAATTTACGATCATAAAATACGATTCGACTCTAGTATTTATGTAGTGGCTTAATAAGCTCGGGAATTATCATAATTCTGCAAATTCCTACAAAATAAAACCAACTCTACAAAAACACTAGAAAATGTATATTAGTAATAAAAATAGCTCCGTAGAGCTCAAATAAGCACAAATATGACCGTGGGACGGGGAATAAATATATATATATAATAGACTTATCAGGGGCCATTCAATCCATCAGAGGGGTTTATAGTCATTGTTGAATACTACACTAATGCACAAGAGTACCTCAACAACAACAGCATTATGCATGTTGTTGGAGCAATTCACTTGTGCTTAGTGAAATTCAATGGAGTCCCTTCATCATGTGGATTTGGGTAAGGTGAATGTCAAATCAAATTATGGGACTCAAAACAAACCAGGATACAAAACCTATTAACAAGGGACTCCTTGTAAGGGACTGACTAGGCAACAATGAACATGTAGAAGATACCAGCCTCATCATTCATCGATCAAATCCACTTAGCCAACATAGTCCATCCCAAGGAACAACAACACAATCATAGCCACACAGCCAACATGGTCCATCCCATTTAACAACAAAACTTTCAAACAACACACCTAACATCATACATCCCAATCAACAACAACACAATAAACTCAACACAGCCAACCTCAAACATAACCCAAATAAGTCCATGGCAGTCAACAACAACACAATCAACTACACACACCCAACACAATACATAAGCCAACATAGTCCATGCCAATCAACTCACTTCCAAATCATCAACATAAAAATCACTACGAATTGGAGTATTTGAAACCCAGTACATTCCAACAAAAGAAGAGAACAGGCAATTCATACAACATCATTAAATAAACTCAACCAACCCTAGTATCCACACACGCATCAACCCAACAAATTACCAATAGTACACAGAAAAATAACATAACCCAGGGTAACTCAAAAAACCCTAAAACCCATCATGCAACCAGATCTAGTCAAACATTCTCACAACAACAACCAAACAACAAAGCAAACCAATACAGTATGGGAACAATCAAATAATTAAGGAAATTTTTTTAAAAAAAAAATTAAAGAGTTAGGGTTAGGAAGAGTTACGCAAGGGCCAGTGCTCAACCTCCTCATTAGAGGAAAGCACGACGAAGTCTCGATCCGGCAAACCCCGAATACGCCTCAAAGCCACCAAGGCCGCCTTCCTACGTGGCCTAATCTTCGCCGGTGGCCTGGAAGGCTTAGATCGGGCCTTGGGAAGGGGCGCAGCACTGCCATCCTCACTTTGGGACCCCAGATCTACACGAACAACATCAAAATCAAGCTTTTTTTGGCCACGGGACTTGCCTACACCCTCCTCCTTCGTTTTCTACTCAGCCTCATCAATATTCTTCAGAACTTCCCCTAACGCCTTGAAAGTGGTCGGCGAACAACAGCTTGGCCCATCTTCATGCGCCTATAGGCGACGGGGAAAATCATCGCCTCTGTTGATATCATTAATGAGGGACTTGATAAAAGTGGCCTCGCTGTTGTCGTTGGTGCCAATATAGGCGTCAATTAGTGGATCAAGGTCATTCATGGAAAAGTGGGCCTCTGGTTTTGGAAGGAAAGATGAGGGAATGGGAGATGTCATGATGTAAATTGGAGAGGAAGGAGAAAGAAATAAGGAAGGCGACAGAAAGGAGGAAGGCGAAAGAAAGGAGGAAGATGAAGAACCAGATCTAGGGTTCTTCAGAAGAAGAATCTAGATCAGTTTTAATCAGATGGTTGGGAAGATGGAGAGTTGTGTCAGTTGGGAGGAATAAATGAAGGGAGTGATTAGATTAGGTAATTTAGGTTAATGGAGTTAAGCGGGGGTTATGGGTAATAAGGGGTAAAAGTATAAAAATCTGAATTATTAATTAAGGGTAATATAGTAATTTTCAGTGTTTTTTTTAACCCAAAATAGAAATAAAAGAGAAAGTTTCACATAATAGTGAGCGGGCTAAAATGGCAAAAGTTGCACATAAAAAAAACCGGAGGTAGTATTTGTTACTACCTGTGCTGTGGCAAACTCATTCTATGTTCACGTAAATATAATTATAATGTACCTTTTCAATGCAAAGTAAAAAAGAATATAATGTATAAGGGAACATCAATAACAATCACACACTCTTACATATTCAGGATTGTTGGCGTGCTGCATAACAATCACCATTTCCGTGTAGCACAAATTGAGGGTCATCATTGAGAATTTCCCTATTTAAAATGTTGACAATCATAATAATATCCTCTTTGTTGTGTTCTTAGCAATTGAAATCAGATAATGGTTCTTCCGTACTTTGCGCTGTTAGTAATTTAGAGTGTATGAAGTGTCGTGCCCGCGGCATGGGGAGAGCCCTCTCCCAATTGGGGAAAGGCCGCGGCTGGAAAGCCTCGAAAAGCCGCGTCCGCAGGTGACTGGGGAGAGCCCTCTCCAAGGCGCGGCCAGCCTTCTCCAGAATTCAAGGATGAAATCCAATTCCTCCTGTCCGCGTCCGCGGCCTGGACGCTCGCGCCCGCGGCAATTCAGTTTTGCGTTTTTTCATTCCTTTTATTCAAAAGGCGGGTGGTGAAATTGGTGAATAAAGTTCTATTATTCAGTTTTCTCCACATTTTCTCTCAAGAATCTTGCAAACTCTTGTTGAAAACCTCTATCAATTTAGTCCAATCTTTGTGAATTTATCATCTAATTTCGTCTCTAAGTGTAAGAACGAAGGTCATCTTTTGTATCTCAAAGAGAATTTCCGGTATAAACCCAAGCACCGTTGTGGGGGAAATTAATCTCTTTAGAAAAGTGTTTACACGCCTAAGACGAAGTATCAAGGTTTGAGACTCACGTGGTCATTCATATTCTCATGTTCATGTTCGGTTGAAAGGCTTGGAAGTGAGGCAAGTATTATATCTTTCATTCTAGTGTATTAAGTTTGATATTTCTGTAATTAGTTTTATCAAACTATTAGAAGTGCTTGGTATATTATTTCTATTGTTTGTATTCAATTTGGTTGTTATAGAATTGTGATTTAGGTTTTGTTCCCACAAATTTGTATTTGATTTATACTTGAAAACCTAACACGCGCACTTCTCTAAATGATCATCCGAGCATACACAACTAGTTTTTCTTCCATCTCAAGAATGAAATTCATGTTCCACCTTTCTCAGGTATAATTTGCTCCATGAGACAAACAACAACTATAGATCACATTTTGAAGCATATGTTTGATGAATGAACTCCCATGTATTTCAACAATCAGACTCACATATAAAAGTCGGTAATGACTCGTACACTGACTTTGGCTTAAAAAACAATACAAGGTAAAAATCAGTTCCTCTTTATTGATATAACTATCTTGGGAACTCAGGCAACTGGTTTCAATACATACATCCTGCTTGCATGAGAGTTGATGGTTGCTGTCAGGTTCTGCACAAACTTCTGCTTAAGTTTTTTATGCTGCATCACAAATTACAAAAAATCTAATATAATATATAATAATTGCAGAATATACAGGAAATAGAGCTCATTGGAAGAAAAGAGTAGCTACAAAATACACAGGGTTAAATATGTTATACCTCCCAAATATCCCTAGCTTCTACAATGCTGTCGACGGGAATGCCAATATCATCCCAGTGAGCTGTTATAGAAGTACGATACGCACCTCTATTCACTAAAAGTAGTGCTACCCTGTAATTGATCAGAGGCCCTGACCATACCTGTTACATGGAGATAAAATTTCTTACTATACAGTTAGCACCATCTATATAATTAAGAAAATATCTTAAGGTGTAAGAAGATTTCTTACCTCCCAATCACCTTCCATCCTGACCTTTTTTGCTTGAATACCAAGAGGATCTGTACATAGAATTATGATGTTACCAAATAGTGTGAGGTGTCACACAGCTAATGCAAGTCATCAACATCCTGTTTACCTTGGTTTACTGCTATGACTTCTTTATTACCAACGATTTCCATTGTTTCCTTTGTCATATTTCTTACATCACACCCGATAAGTAGTGGTGCCTGCAGTGTCTCTTTTCGCATAAGAATTTATGACAACATTTTTCTAAATTAAATAAGATGAGTTGAGAACTTCACTTCACCTTGGAAATGGCCCAAATGCTAAAGTGGACTATGTATTCGTGTTTTGACATCCCTCCATTCCCCACCTCAAGCATGTCTGGATCTATTTAGTCACAAAAGAAATCTCAACGACTCTCATTTCTCCATCATCTTCCAATATTACTTTAACTAGTGCATAGAAAAAATATGTACTACTGTCATTTTCTAAACATGACTCCCATACCATTCCAACCACCGGGTCTTGCAAGATCAGCATAAATTTCATTCATATCGGCTCTAGACACCATGCTGCAGTGAGTAAAAAGGTTACCATTTTAAACAAAATATCAGATAACATGATCATTACATATGTAGCAACAAATATAAAGAATATAAAGACTCGACCTATCCCAGTTATCAGAAATGTCATTGGTAGTTCTCCAGCTTTGCCCACCTGATAACCCCATTGTGCAGGATGCATGTCTCCCCTAATCAAGAAGCAAACAACCAGAATCCATGCCATTATTGACACGCTTTAAAATAATGCATATCTATGTTTGGAGTTTGGATGAAAACATTGTCGTCTACTATGATTACCATTCGCAGAGTGAAAAGAAAATAGGGCGACCAGCTTCCATTAGTGCTCTGGTCATCACTGGGTATCTACACAGCGGAGCATATATGTTCAGAGAAAATCTAAAGTAACTTTTAAAATTGGAAAACAATTCATAGCTTAGTTGGTCATAGTACATTAATATACCTAACAGTAGGTTTTGAGCCATCGTTATTGCAATTATCATACTTCAAGTAATCGATGCCCTGTAGAAATTTCACAAGTAACAAGGTACTATTGAGCAGAAAGCCTTGATATGATTCAGACTCAGAAATGAAATCGACTGAAAAGAGTTGTAAATGTGATACCCAAGATGCAAATGTCTTTGCGTCTTGCACCTCATGTCCAAGTGATCCAGACATTTTTTTACTGCAAGTGTTGTACCTATATATAATGAAGATCTTGATGCATCAGAAACTATTTTCAGAGAAATCAGAGAAGGAGCTAGTTGCTGTCAGAAGATACCCTGCATCTGAATAAATCCCAATCTTTAGACCCTTGCTGTGTACATAATCTGCAAGAGCTTTTATCCCAGAAGGAAATGTCGATTTCTTGGGAACAAAATTACCCTGATACATCATGAAAAAGGATAAACATTAAATGAATTTTCTTTGATTAACTTGCTCTGTGAGAAGAAAGATGAGTTGAGATCAATCAAGGTGAGACAGAGACAGACCTTGTTATCGCGTGCTATTTCTGCCCAGCAATCATCTGAGGAAGCAAAAAAGTAGAAAATTCAGCAGCAAGGCAACAGTACATTACACATAACAAAGGAAAAGGAGGACTATATGTACTACATCACTACATGACCTACCAATGTTCACGTATTTGTAACCAAGCTTAGAAAGACCAGTTGAAACTAATGCATCAGCTGTCACAGAGGAGTGAAATTCCATTAATAAGAAATGTTTTATTTCAAATTCATTTACTGTATTACTCCCTTCATTCTCAAATAATGGTCTTGCATGACTCCTTTGACTGATTGTATTGAGGATAATTTGGTTATCCTACAGGACTATTTTTTTGTGAATAAGAGGGAGTACAAAATATATCCAAATTGCAAATCTCACTGGTTTCTTTGACAATCTTTTCTGTGACATTGCACCCAAAGTGATTCCAACTATTCCATCTGAACAACAAACAATAAGAAAATGGTTGTAAATCTAGACATATTTGACCCATGATAATAGCAATTACACCTTTGGAGACTCCGAAGAAATCACTGTAGATATGATCTATGTCTTGTTTATTCATTGTCTAGCCTATCCAAGCGCTTAAGAAGTTATGAGAAATATATGATTCAGAGAGAGGCAATAATATTAACAGTGAAGTAGGTTGTATCATGCATTACTTCATGGAATCATCAGCCTAGCACAGTGCCTAGGCCTGTCCCAGCCACTATTATTGGCCCCCTGATGAGCTTTGCTACTACGAACTATGGAGTACTAGTCTACTATTACAACTAGTTGAGCAGGGTATAAGTATAGGGAAGGGACAAAAAGAAAGTGAGAGCTTACCCCATGGGAGGAGTGAGAGCAAGGCCATTAGAGAGCAAAAATCTCCGGTATGAACTGTGAATGACAACATTATGCAACTTTGTTGTTGTGCTATTCATGCCGGAGCTGTTGCACCTACCTTGATCAATTATTACAAGTACTAACAACATTGCCCATCTGAAAATCATCGTATCACCTTAACAATGTATCTAATACAATTACCACATTAAAACTCGGAAAGAAAATAATACAAGAGAAAAGGTACTCTTTAAATCAGGACAATTCTGAAGGGCTTTAATTATGGGTAGAATATTTATAGATGCAAGTGATCATATACAAGTCATCATTCGGAATGCTATCTTTTTTGTGGCTCTTGAAATTCCCTACTTGCCCTTGGTCACACACTCACTCAGATCACCAGTCACCACTCTCATGGTTTGAGTAGTTAAGCTTCTTCTAGAAATTGTTATATAGATATACTTTATAAATAATAAAAATAGACTGTAAAGTTACAGAAGGATTATATTAATGAGATGAGGTTTTATTTTTTTTAATAGGTGTATATTTATATTTTTTATCATCTCAGGAAAACACCATGCACATACATAATCAGTCAGCGTGAAAAAGGAAAGTCTGAAGCAATCTCGACGGATGTTTTGTTTTTATTATCGCCTAGAACGATCTGCACATACCATAACATCCATACGGGTGTTGCCAATGAAGTTTGAAATCATTATAATCAAAAACACTCAACAGCGTGGGCAACTTGTTGAGTCGTGAATTTGGCCTTAACTTTTGAAAAAGAAGCCTACCTTTTTTTATGGGTAGAAAAGAAATGGCCAAGAAAGAAAACCCCTCACTGTACTGCACGTTCTCCTCAATGACCTCTGCATCACCCCACCCCCCACCAAAATAAAAAAAAAAAAAAAAAAAAAAAAAAAAAAAAAAAAAAAGGAATGAGAGTGACGGTACCAATGAAAAGAACTTGGCATAATTTGGACTAACCATTTTTGTTCCTTTCACTTTGGCATGTTAAGCGTGGCATACTACTAGCCCGACCTGCCTCTTAGAAAAAGAAAGCAATAATACATGATTTCTACTCCAGATTTTTCTACATGGTCCCCTTAATGATACACTAATCATTTCCCAATTCTCCTTCATCCCTATTCTATCCTCACCACAACAAGCACCGTGCCGAACAAAAGTTCACCAAATTACCATTAGTCTGCTGCGTTTATTTTATCAAACAGATGGGACAACTCTAAATAATGCGCAAGTATACAATGAAACACAACGACTTTACAGCTTAAACCTGGGAACTTGAAAAGGGATTTAGAATAGAAAACATTATGGCAGGAGGTCTGCAGGAAGAAATCCGAGAACAAAACACAGTTTGCCTGAATATCTGTCCTTGGTTTATTTCTAGCTTAAAAATTGCAAAACACTGATCCATAAGATCATAACTATAAAAACTAAGTGCTCCAAAAATAATTCGGCCAAGATATTACAAAGCATAAAAGCATTATCAAAATAAGGCAACTCGCCACCATTGCTCCCATTCTTCCAATAGACCAGAATCAGAGACTAATGTCTTACGCAATCACTTCACAATGCAAATCTTGATAACAGAAGCAGCTCCAATACGATGAAGTGCTACAATAGCATCACCGGGAAGACACAAGCCCCTTTCTGTTGCTTTCTTCAGAGCAGCCTCCAGAATCACCTCTGTAGACTCTGAATCAGTAGCCTTGGCAGACCCCTCAGCTAATAGAGGGATTAAACCTCTGTATACAAGACTATGCCTTGCTGGGGTCTCATCACTACAAGTCCAGTCGAAAGAATCGGTTGTCAAGACAGGGACAACTACTGAGAGGATTGGTACAGCTGGCCTATACTTGGCAACCAATTTGGCCGTTGTACCACCACGTGTCATCACAACAATGAGCTTTGCCTGGGCTTTATTAGCAGTTCGGACAGCTGAAGATGCAAGACTCTCCAAAGGGCTCATTGGTAGAGGAGTAGCCCTAATCATCTCTTTGAAGATAGCTGCATAATCAAGGGAAGATTCTGCCTCGATACATATACGGGCCATGATCTTGACAGCAAGCTCCGGGTAAGCCCCAGCTGCACTCTCACCACTAAGCATAACACAGTCAGTTCCATCAAGGACGGCATTAGCAACATCGGTGGCTTCAGCACGGGTAGGCCTCGGAGATTTAATCATGGATTCAAGCATCTGTGTTGCAGTAACTACTGGCTTGCCAGCAAGATTACACTTGTAAATCATCATCTTCTGAGCCAGGAAAATTTTCTCAACTGGAATCTCCATTCCAAGATCACCACGTGCAACCATAAATGAATCAGTCTCCCTTAAAATCTCGTCAAAATTGATCACTCCCTCCTGGTTCTCAACCTGAATAAATTCAACAAACATCAAACAGATTCAATCAGACCAAAAGGTCAAGTGGATGCTGGTATGCTACAAAAAAAAAAAAAAAAAAAAAAAAAAAAAAAAAAAAAAAAAAAAACATTAACATAACTCAAATGCCACTAAAGCAAAAATAACAGGTCAAAAAACTAGGTAATGAGAGACTTCACACCCAATACTACTAAGTCAAAATCTGGACCTAGAAGCCAAAAAAAAAAAAAAAGGGATTAATGTTTCACTTACTTTTGACATCAATTGTATATGTTTGGCATGGGGGCCAAGGACCTTCCGGACATGAACAAGATCAGATCCCTTCCGGACAAAAGACAGAGCAATCATATCAATGTTATTGGGTACACCCCACTCCAATATGTCTTCTGTATCCTTTTCTGTCAGAGTAGGCAGATCAACTACAACTCCAGGAAGATTTACATTTTTCCTCTCACCCAGTACGGCAGTGTTCTCACATCTACACCTCACAGTTCCACCAGCTGGATCACAGGACAGAACAGTGAGAGTAATAGTACCATCAGCACATAAGATGATGTTTCCTGGTTTAAGATCCACAGCCAGCTTTTTATAGCTCATACAAATCATCTCTGTGTCACCCTTAATGGTATAATCAGTGGAAACAGTGATTTCCTGTCCCTCTGTCAGTTGGATGGGCTTCCCATCCTTCAGAAACCCAGTACGTATTTCAGGTCCCTGCAATATCAGAAACTCTAGGAGATTATTTTAAATAACTAATGTAAATGTACTGATAAATACATATTTAAAATAGATAATCATTAATAAAAGGATCCAGCAAGCCAATCAAGCTACGTAATTGTCAAAGAGATTCATGTAAAAAGCAAGTACCCAGAGGATCACAAAATAAAATACAGTTACTCCGTAAGAGCATAGAAAACATGAAAGCACTGCTTGCCAGTTGTCACATTACAATTAAACATCACATCAAGGCTTCTGACTCAACCCTGGTTCAGGAAGTACACACAAGGTCTAAGGAGCCCATCCAGGTTACAGTTTTGTTGGGATGAATGAGATAAAACTCCTGGTTGTAAGTCATTTTTACAGGTCCTAGTGGCCACTACTAGGCAGGGGGGATAGCAGTTTCCCAAACATGGCAAGGATCCCATATGGGGGGTCTCAAGGTTTGAGTTTAATATCCTTCCATACTATGCAAATTGAGAACAAGGCAGAAGTTAAACAAGCATAAAGGCTTCTTGGTACAAATTTTCCAAGTTTAATGATTTGGCTTTCCTAACTAAATCTTCAGGTCAAGCAGCAGCAGACAAATATGAAGCCTAGAAAGACAATCTGTTAGACATCAAGTTTTGAGATGATGTGAGAGACAAAGTTGATAAAATCTAAATGCTCAAGGATAAAGCATAACTAATAAAATGATGTTTTTGCTATCCAGAGGATAGGGCTCAGATGATTTATGGGTGCAACAGTGTGAGAGCATTGTTAAATATTTTTGCTAACACAATGATAGAACTTCAGTATTAAAATTTTCCTTAATTATTCAATAAAAGGATTAAAAATAATGGTTCGCCCATAAAAGAAACAAAACAGATACAGTAGCTACAATTGGTCATGAATTCAAAAGCCTTTAAATCAAACTGCTACATTGTATTAATAATTTTAGGCAAATGACAATGAAGTAGAGGAAAATGCTTGCAGGCTACACATTAGCCATTGTTGTATTCTAAAAAAGGACTGCGTAAGCACCACATACAGGTCTCAGGTGAAAGATCATATAATTTACAGTACAGTTAAATCTTAAAATTAAAATAAAATAAATAAATAAATAAAAAAAAAAAACTGTTTACATATACAAACAGCTAGAAACAAGCTAAAGCTAGCCCCATAAAATCCACAAACTCCACCTAGATTCTATTTGAGATGCATAGCTTACATACTTCACATGTTAAAGCCACCACCATACCACAGCTAATGGTACACTCTTCTTAAGCACCCTAAATAAAGCCTATAAACGATATATTGATTGCAAATAAAAGGTAGTCGCTGTAGCTTGAACTACTCAAAAATTTAAGACTTATCATCAAATAAAATCCATCCTCCCCGAATAATTCTGGGTATTCTTAGCACGGTATTGGGAAATCTTATAACTATTACTCAAATAAGCATGAAACATATCATTTTGCCATAACATATTGAATCAGAATACAAGCAAGGCAAATAAAAAAAGCAAAAGCTATATAATAGAATAAATATGAATGAGAGAGAAAGAAGACCTTGGTATCAAGCATAAGAGCACATAAGATCTGAGTGTTTTGCATAGCAATCTTGAGATTTTCAAGAGTCTCCTGATGGTACTCATGTGTTCCATGGGAGAAGTTGAATCGAGCGACATTCATACCCGCTCTCAGCAGCTTCTCCAGCATCGGCACCGACCGTGAAGCCGGCCCTAGCGTACACACGATCTTCGTCTTTGGTACTCTTCCATCCTCGGGAATCTCCTTCAATATCCCTTCGATATCTATGTTCGCCATTTCTAATAATACAATCAAATTGCTTATATTATCAATCAATCAATCAATTAAACAAAAAAGAGCACAGATCGGACTAATATTGAACGAAACAGGAAATCAATAGAAGAAAAATCAAACAAAATTTGAGATGTAAAGTTTATATAAAAATTGGATCTAATAGGCAATATATAGAGAGAAAGAGAAAATTGACTCACCTAAAAGTAAGAATTGAAAAACCCTAGAAAAGGCGCAGATGGGATTTGGGAACAAGTCAGTGGGCTTGAACAAGGAAGACGACTGAGCTTTTTGGAGGAAACACAACGAACAACGGACAGCAGTGGTTTTTACTTTCCTCCACAACCCTCAAAGATATTTTATTATTTATTTCCCTACCTTCTTTCCCCTCTCACAAGTCTACAATCTCTTTTTATACTATGTTTCCTAATTTTATTTAGACTAATTAACTAGGGGTACTAATCGAGCGAGTCGATCGCGAGCTAAGGGGTGTTCGGCTTGACTCGAAAACTTTTTACATGTGTTCAACTCATGCTTGTTAAACTTTCGAGCCAATAAAACATGCTCGGCTCATTCTCGTTAAAATTTCGAGTCGAAACGAGTAACTTACGATCAACTCGTTAAAGTTTTGGCCCTTTTAAAATTATAGGCCTTTATTTTTTTTTCACTTTATATTGTTTTTTTTTATATTTATTTATTATCGAAGATTTTCTCTTTCTTTTTTATAATATTATTTAACTCTTATTAAGTGTCAAATTTGTTTAAACACGATAACTGTGTTTGTAAACTCTATATTAATAAAATATATTATCAATTGCTCACGAGCTTATCGAGTCGAGTTAGAGCTTGTTCAACTCATGCTCGTTAACATCTCGAGTCGAGTCGAATTTGAGTCGAGCCAACTCGATTCGAGTTCGAGTTGCTTGCGAGCTACTCAACTTGATTAGCACCCTTACTCTTAACTCTACCCCCCCCCCCTTTTGTTAAACATATTATATCCACTTTTCGTTGAATTAAACTTAATTTTACTAAACTGAATTTAATTTGACTGAACTAGACTTATGTTTACCAAATTAAACTTATTGTAATAAATATTAATTTTTAATTTTTAAGGTGAAGAGAACAGAGTCTTACAATATCTTTCTTTTTTTTTTTTAAGTTATACTTGCTATGTTTTTTAGTATTTACATTGACTTATGCATTATTCACATACTCTCTTTAAAATTTAATAACTATAATAAAATAAA